TGGGGCAGTATTCCCTGTAAGCTGAGTGCCTGGGTGACCACTCAGGAGAAAGACAAATACTCCTAGCAGATTAGCAGAGCGCCCACAGCTTTTTTGTGTGTTTGTTTCTAATGGTGGTGCACATTCAAACATGCCTTGTTGCACAAAAAAAAAATATTCTACACAGGGATGAAAAAAATCTGCACATGGACAGAGGAAGCATTTGGGGGGGGGATGCAGGATCTGGGCAGTCTCACCTTAGGCAGCTCCCTTCAAGTGCAGACATGTTCTTGCTGCTCCACAGCTGCCACTGTCTGCAGTTCCTGGCCAACGGAAGCTGCAGAGCCAGCAACTGGGGTGTGGCAGGAAAGTAGCACACAGAGTCCCTATCACTGTGTCTCTGATTAGGAGCAGCAAAGACAGGCCACTGCTTCCAGGGATTCAAGTGGAGCATGGAAGAATGCTATTGGACCTGTTATTCTGTGTCCCTTAAATGACAATGATGGATACCTTTTACAGCCGTGTTTTTCTCATGAGCTTGTCATTATGATCACGTGATTTCTGAGGAAGCATAGTCACCGGTTTACCTGGTTAAGTATTAATGGTCAGACACTGAATACAACCAATTACATTATAAATCTGTCATAGTTGGAATTTATCTATCAATAATTGCAGAATACACTGGTCTGACAACCTTTGTAACGCAATCATGAATTAGTTTCCGCCATAAAGCCCAAGCAAAGGGATGACTGGGTCACCAAAATTCAAATGATCTAACCTACTAATCATAGCACTGGAGACCAAAATGCAGCTGAAATCCTGAACAGGATTGAGTCTACTGATGCACAATCCTTCTAGATAAACTTCAGATCTCAAATGAATAATGATTCAGTGACCCTCATTGGTCACAAAGAGAGACCCAAGAACACCTGGATATCCATTAATATCTTCACCACCACTGAACAGCATTGTAAGGCTAATTTGAAAGTAATATAGTCACATATCATAAATAAATTTCACTCACAATAAAGGAATACATACTGACCACAAAGCTTATATGGAAGCCAAAGCTATTGCAGTCAAGGAAACCTCTGCCAGAAACCATGTTGCCTCTTTAAACAAACACTTGCATATCCTCACTGAAAGAGGTTATTCACTTAAATATCATCTACTCCAGTTCTGGTGAGCTAGCCAATACAGAAGAGGAGTACATGGAAAGCTGGAGTGAATGTTTCTGTCAGCTACAAAACACCCGCCCCCCAATTTTCTTTCATCAGTGTCAGGAGCCTTTAAAGTTTTTGCTTACGACTGTTTCACAAAGGCTACGTCTAGACTACATGCCTCTGGCGACAGAGGCATGTAGATGAGGCTACCAGGCATAGGAAAATGAAGCGGCGATTTAAATAATCGCCGCTTCATTTATATTTACATGGCTGCTGCGCTGAGCCGATCAGCTGTTTGTCGGCTCAGCGCATATAAATGAAGCGGCGATTATTTAAATCGCCGCTTCATTTTCCTATGCCTGGTAGCCTCATCTACATGCCTCTGTCGCCAGAGGCATGTAGTCTAGACGTAGCCAAAGAGAGAAAGACCTTTAATTGGAGGATTTACCCCAGATGAATGCCCTTAACCTGTAAAATAGGGAACATAAACAAGTATCTCTGTAGTTTACATTTCACTTCAATCAGGAAAGCTAGGTATGCAATTATTTAATTTCCAGTAGGTCTCACATGTGCACACATACATAATTTATTCAGCATTAAAGAGAATCCTAAATATATTACACCTGCAGAAATTTAAATCATTTTACCTCAATCAATTTCCAGATAAGAAAACCCAGAACTGTGCACTCAGGAAAAAGACAGATATTATTCTGTGTAGAAAAGCTTGATAACATGCAGTACAGTATGAGAAAATGCATTTCTGATTTGACTATTCTGTGTAGAAAAGCTTGCTGGCATGCAGTACAGTATGAGAAAATGCATTTCTGATTTGAATTCAGAATTCTACCGTGGAATAAGCTATGAGTGAATGACTCATCCTGTGTGTACTCTGCGACTATCCCATAGGAATCTATCCATTTCAAAGCTCCAGCTAAAACTTTGAAGAAAAATACTCCAACTGAAGAACTGAGCAGCTCACAACGTTTTCTGCTATTTTCTTTTAAGCTAACGAGAAGCATACAGTAGAAAATTAAAGGCAATGGTACTGACACTACTTCCTTCCCACACACACACACACACACGTACAGTAGAAAATTAAAGGCGATGGTACTGACACTACTTCCCTCCCACACACACGCACACAAACACCAATTCCCTTCTAAAATTATTTTCTCCTTTATCCCCCTATCATTTGGGGCCTGTTAAGAAATAGAGTTCATCCTTTGCCCCAGTCAGAAATGAAGGGGCACTTCACAGAATTTTGGTCTCCTATTTCTTGAAATAGTTTTATGATGTTTTTGTTTTTGGGGAACCATGAAACAGTGAGTCAAAAAAAAAAAACAAAAAAAAAAAACTTAGGTAGGGAACCATGAAATAGTGAGTCAAAAAAAAAAAAAAACTTAGGTCTGATTTATTTCCTGCCACTGACCTGCTGAATGATGTTGGGCAAGTCACTTCTGCTCTCTGTACTTCAGTTTCCTCATCTGTGAAAAGGGGATAATGACACTTATCTCATTTCAAAAATGCTTTGAGATCTACCAGTGCAAAGCATTATTTAAGAGTTATTATTCAGGTTCTGTAATAATTTCTGTCACTTGGAGACACCTGCTGCTGAACACTTACATAGTGTGCTACTTGCAGTAGTCACTGCTCAACATTTAAGAGCTAAACTGTGGATAGGTTAAACGTGATTCAAAAGACATACAAAGCATGCAAGTAATAAGTACTAGCATCCTCAGTGTCCACTGAAGCCAATGGAAGCCGCAAGCCTTCCACTGCTCTACGGCCACACAGCTTTAAACCACATAGGATGAATCCCTTTTGAGATTCCCTTTTACTCAGGAATCAATCCCTTTTGAGATTCCCTTTTACTCAGAGTTGTTGATGTTGATCATTCTGTAATCTCAACAAGATCACACACAGGGACTTTATATGAAGGCCCTCCATCTTTGAAATGTTCTTGAGCTCATTATATGCTAGATCATGTGTGGTATCTTTTAGCAAACCAAAGACATTTTAATTTTCTTTAATGTTTATGTGGGTGATTTATTTCTTATATCGGGGCAGCTGCCAGATTGCGTGGGGTTGTTGGTATTTCAATCTTTTTTATGAATTCTAGTTAAAAAAACTAGAATCTATGAAGCCATGTGTCCTGCATGCAGAAGTCCTTATATAGTCTTTTTAGTTTGCCCCTATTCAGAAAAAACTGCCTATGTGTTGAAAAACAGTTTTAAGTGACTGCAGACTACATAAAAACACGAGTAAAGACTTCAAGACCTAGCATTAGGTTTTAGTTTTTGACACTAATGAGGATTAAGCACCTAAAAACTATGAAAATGAGGCACCGTTTAAATACAAATATATTAATGTTACCAACAGTTCCTTTTTTTCTTCTGGGCTAAATTCAGTATACAGATTTTGAATGGTCTGTAGTAGTTATGATGAAATTACCATGTAGGTAACTTTATAGAGAAGTGCAGAATGAAAAACCCTCTAAACTACTTTCCAGCCCTGTTGCATAGTTTGTCATTGAGTCTTTTACATTAAAAATAGCAAGGCAAAACTTTGCAATTTATCTAAGCAATGGCACTGCTGCTCTTGGAATTCCCATGGCAACCAGTATCACAACAGAGCAAAAGCTTTAAATTATTCTGTATGTAAACGGAAGAAACATTACTAACTAGTTGACAGCCTAATTGCTGAAATCCTACTGGAAAATTTTAAAGTCGGGAAAAACAAATACATATTCAGATAAAAGAATCCTTTTTGTTCTTTATGTGAATTTCCCATTCATCATAAAATTTCAAATATCAGTGATTTAAAACAAATACTAACAGTGTGATTTAATGCCACAACAGT